GGGGGTGAAGAAGCCCACTCTATTCACGGAACTGCTGCAAACTTGTTTGTTGAAAAAGTGTCATTTTTTTCAAAAAGAAATTTTGAAATATATTACTAATAACGTTGTGGGGCAGGTTCGTGTACGCACTGCCTGGGGGCACATTCGTGCATATTTTTTTTTAGTTTTTTTGCGATTTATGACTATCTGTAGTAGGTTTCTCTAATGACGCTCGCCTGACTCAGTCTCGACTGCTTGCGACGTCGTGACGAGCAATTCACGCGAACTTGGCGAGGTCACGGAGGCCGGCAGTTGGCACATTCTTGTTGGCCAGCCCATTCTTTCTACATTTGTTGTGCAATGCATTCTTGTCGAAAGGAATCAAGTGAAATGACCCCCTGCCAATTTCCTTTGGTAAATTTCTGGTAATGCCCGGTAATTTCTCGAATTTTGCCGGGTGAACGGAAGTGCCCCATCTCTTGAACGAATGTGCCCCATAGGTGGGGCAGTTTCGTGCAAATGTTCAGAGTTAATAAAAGTCATTTTTTCTAATGGAAGCAATAATTTTATAGGATAACTTTTAAAGAGGAAAACTATCTGCAATAGTTCCTTTTCATACTACAATCAACAATTTTGCCATTGCACTAACCAAAGAACAGATATATGGGTTTATCCATTTTTTGCACGAATGTGCCCCACTCTCCCCTATGCAGCATGACCATACCCCACAACCTCATTGATGAATGACCTGACCTTGACCTCGGGTCAAATTTCAAATTGACCTGTGAAGGTCATCACATACTTATTTCGCATCACCTCGGCGAGAGCAACAAAAAATGTATTGGCTTTATGTCTCTATGTTTCTTAGTTTAAAAGTTATATAGGTAACGAATTCCAAAACATTTTACCGTTGATGACCTCTGGTGACCTCAATATTGACCTGACTTGAAAATGTTTTATGTAAAAGTAATAGATCTTTAAACGACCTATCGAACGCCGTTTGCCGTTTGTCGCTGCGATGTGTAGTTTTTGAGATCTGAAGGGGGGGGGGGGGCGAATCGCCCCCCCCGCCAGTTTCTTGTCCCGGCGGAGCCCGCCAGGAATAGGGTTTAAGGTAGTGTGCGAGCTTTCCTGGACCGTATGGAGTTAATGGCCCAGATAAGGACAACCGGATTTTTAGAACTTATCCATACCTTCAAAACTTATGGAAACGTTTTAAATTCTTCAAATTTTGAGTACCCCAGTGCGAAATTCGCCCCGACGGGTTGTCGGTCGTACCCCAACCACATTTCACACCACTATGAACAATAAACGCACACACTGAAATCGCTATTACCGATATGCTCATCCAATCAAGTTTCGATAAACCCGTTCATCATCATCTCCTGCGGTTTCGAACACGCCTGGTGGTGCGGTAGACCGCGCCCAAAGCCAGGGCCCCGGTAACGTGAGGTAGCCGAGTCGGGGCAGCGTGCGCTGACCCAAGCCGGGGCCGCGCGTCCTCCCGGTGTCATGTGATAGCCCGGGGCTGCCCGCGGGGATGCGGTAGACCGCGCCCAAAGCTGCGGCCCCGGCTTGGGTCAGCGCACGCTGCCCCGACTCGGCTACCTCACGTTACCGGGGCCCTGGCTTTGGGCGCGGCTTCTGCTCATACTTTGTGGTGCGGTGGTGGTGCGTCGGGCCGCGCGCTCTGACTTCGGCCAAGAAAAATGTGTCAGCTGATCATTGTCATTTCTGCCACTTGCGTGTGGTGAAATGGGGTCATAACTTAAGAGACGGCTTTTTCATATCAATTATTTTACATAAAATCATATTTCAAACCATAAATAATGTTCGACAGCCAAATAAAAGAAACAATACCAATACAGGCTTACAGTTTAACCCTCGCCCTGGCAGGGGGGGGGGGGTCGATGCGACCCCCCCCTAAGGTTTTTCGAAGATAGCGTAAAAACGGCGGCGCGCAGCGCCGCCAAATTTGGCACAGCATATGGGGCAACCTTTTTACATATGACCTGAAAATTTCAGGTCCGAGTGACCTAAGGTCAGGTCACCAGGTCAGAAAAACCGGTACAAGGTCATGGTCAAATTTCAATTTTCTTTTTGCACCTGTCCAACTCACAGTTTTGGACTGATTTCCTTCAAACTTTCAGGATGTGCCAAGTTCACCGAGTTGTATAACATATAGTTCGGGTTTTTTGAGGTCACTGACCTGAGGTCAGTTAGAGGTCATTACGTCGTAATGTTAAGCCTATGGGAAAATACTAAATTCGGAAAATACTGGAGATATCCGCTTCATTCCATCACTTTTGTGCTTTGAAACCACAGTACTTAACAGCAGGTCACTTGGTGCTTCTTTGTTTGGTGTACTTATCCATGGGTCAGGTCAAATGAGGTCAACTGAGGTCAAATGACGTTTTTGCCAATAACTTGGCACACAATGACGCTAGAGCTTAACAAATGGTATCATTGTGTTCCTGGTGATCAGCCGAATCGAATGATATGCGATATGATGCAATTTGGTTAACTTGAACTTAATTTATAAATTTAAGTTTACTTAAAATTTAAGAAAAACTTTAAGTACACTTAAGCAAGCTAAAAAGTATATCATTCGACGCGCCTTGACGTGCTGAGTTCACTGGTGCTTTTATTTTTGCTTTATCTTAATTAGATCAAAAGTTATAAGCGAAAAACTTTTGACCTGTTTTTAGCGAAATTTTTATATTTATACCCCCCAAAACCCCCCTAAATATTGACCTAGAGCAACCAAATTTGCACAGGGGCGAGAACTCCAGGGGGCCCACCTACCTACCAAATTTGGTGTTTCTAGGTGCCATAGGAGCCAATCGCGAGGGGGGGGGGGTCGCATCGACCCCCCCTCCCCCCTGCCAGGCCGTGTTATGAAAAATGCCCTGCCAGGGCGAGGGTTAAGGCTCGACATTGTGTTGTCTACGATTAGACAGCTGATAACTCATTCCCGTACGTCAGAACTCTGTAATGACCTTTGCTTATTGTCACATGTGCGCCGCATTCGCGATTGTTGCCGACGCCTGTTTGCAGCTCAGCCCACTACAATTGTTATACATATCGAAAAACCGATAAACTTTTAGGCGAAAAAGGCACTATTCCAGGCCCATTTTTGATTTTTTTTTTGCGATATTAGGTAAAAACAGAAGCTTCTTATCCTAGGAAAAATAAAATGGAAAATCTTTCAAAGGTGGCACACTACCTTTAAGCGAGGCCCACGTGCAGATCTAGATAACTCCTCCATCTGTTCCACGAGCTGCTTCACATGTGGCAGAGACACAACGTACCGGTATTTGTCTTGGAAATCCCGTCCCGTGCAGACGCCCGGGGACGCCCGTGCATCGAGCTCTGCAGTAACACCACGCAGACGTCCTGAAAGCCATTATGTGCAAAATGACAATCTGAGGCCAGTTTTACCAACAGAATCAGAAAAGTAGCCGCCTGCCGGAATTTTTTGCCTAAAGATCGCTTCACATACGGAGCGTAAGCGGTAAAGCCCTATCCACTTACGTGTCCATCGCACTTACGCTTCATCGTATGTGAAGCGGTATTTAGGCAAAAAATCTTTGTCGTTGGTCTCGGTGTTGTTGAAATGTAAGTGGTGCAATGTAAGTGAATAGTAAGTGGCGTAAATGTTAAACAATTAACGCGTTGTTATAATTAAGTTGTCGCTTTCCTTTAGTCTGATGAACGTTGAGGGCGGATGTGACGTCATGCGTGACCTGTCACGTGCCCGCCCGGCGCTGACCAATCGCGTGCCGTTCCGGCTCCAGCGCCGGCCGGGGGTAGGGGCGTGTCAGCGCAGGTGGCTCCTTCCTTTCCGTGCCCGACTGCGGAGTGGTACACATGTTGGCAATGCGTCTTAATTTCAAACGGTAAGCGCTGAATTCATATTTTAAACGGAAACGTGTTTGGATTGTTTTGTCTCCAGAGTCCAGATATTCGGGTGTTGAAAGTCTCTGACAAAACGCTTCCACGCATGTGCGATATGTTTTTCTACTCAATATATATATCTATTTGTCTATTCATTACTCAAGCGCTGAATTGTTGATTTAATGTGTTAAAAGTTCAACCTTATGTTAAAACGTTATTTGGGGCCGCTTAGCAGGACGCAGTTTAAAGGACCTGGTCTGTGGGTCTATCTATAGGACCTGGCCTGTAGGACGTGACCTGCAGGATGCAGCAGGAAGCGTTTACCATGACGTGGCCTTGCGCATCTGTTGTAATAAATTAGAAGGGGACTAGAGAGTGTTGGATCGCCTGCTCGAGAGCCGACGCCGCCGTCGTCGCCCCGGCCAACGCTTACTTACACGAATACCGCTCCCTATCAGCATGCTGCGAGCTTACTGGCGGTTTGCGGCTTTTTATTGGTGAAGTTTTCGGAGAGTGTGCTGTTTTCAAAAAAGAGACCGAAGAATTGAGCAGCTTCTTCACCCTGGATTGCACTGCATTATCGCGATTTGAGTGCTGAGTCAGAGTCGCCTGCGTTCTAACCCAACAAGAACAAGATTTAAGAGGATTTTCCATGTTTTTTAGGCGTGCACGCTCGATTCTGTAGAACGCGCCTGCCGTCCGAATTCCGAAGTCCCGAAGTCCGAAGTGCGAATTTTTCCGACCTTGGTGTCATTAACCTGCCCTGGAAGTTCAACCAATCACATAGGACATCAACATTGGGTGTCATCGCCTCTCTTTTGTCACGGACAACACCCTCATTTTATACCTGGGTCAGGGGCCGGACGGCTGGGGTAGGGGTCCACCCGGTCCAACGGCACCACCCTCCATTATACTTTGACTCCGCCAATACGGGCGAGGGTTAAACTAGCATAGATTAGTTAATTCGTTCGTTTTTTCGCCAATGCTATAGTCTTTTACCGGTTGCAGTTAGCAATGAGCGTAAAAGCGCACTTCATGAATATTTTTTAGAGCCATTTGTAAGCGACATAATTTGTTTCATGATAATATTCGTTGTTTATGTTTTTTGTCACGTTATGTTTCAGATGGGTGAAAATGGAGTCTGGCGAGTGGGTGGGCCCGCTGGGCCGGTATCTGTGGATTTTGCGCCAGGACGAGACGGGCGTCGACTTCCGGGTGCTCTCGGCCGAAGGCGCCGGCCCCGGCCTGCAGCAGGTGAAGGCACAGGCGATCATCGAGGATTACTTTCAGCTGAGCGTCAGCCTGCCCGACCTGTACAGAACCTGGAGTGCCGCCGACCCCGCCTTCAAGAGCATCGGCGGCAAACTGCCCGGTGTGCGGATGCTGCGACAGGATCCTGTGGAGAACCTCTTCTGCTTCATCTGCTCTTCAAATAACAACATCCAGCGGTAAGCATTGTGCCTGTTTATCCAACAATTCATTATCCCTTATTTGATAGTGTAAAAGTTTTTTTTTTTTTTTTGCTTTTCAGCATAAAATGTGCTACACACTGTCAGATTTTTTTATGTCAATGTAGCAAATCCGTCCTGTCAGTGATTAGCTGAGAATCCTGACGGCGCGTGTCGCTCTGTCGGCCAGCATCACCTCCATGGTGGAGAAGCTCTGTGAGCGGTACGGGGAGCCCATCTGCGAGTACGGCGGCCGGGCGTTCCACGCGTTCCCCACTGTGTCGGCGCTGGCGGCCGCCGACGTGGAGCCGGAGCTGCGCCAGCTGGGCTTCGGCTACCGAGCGCGCTTCATCGGCCAGACGGCCCAGCAGCTGGCCGAGCGCGGCGGCGAGGCGTGGCTACTGGCGCTGCGGCGGGCCGCCTACCGCGACTGCCACGCCGAGCTGCGACAGCTCTGCGGCGTCGGCGCCAAGGTACGCTGACCGGTCCGTGGGATAACGTAATGATATACAAGTGTAAAAGCGTGCTTGGGGCTATTGGTGAGGGATGAGGCCATAGCAGGCGGACCACACCACCCACAAAGTAGGGATGAGTGTGTCATGATAGATTTGGTAGCAATGCATTGTCAAGTATTCAAGTTCATATATTTGTGGGTGCCATCTAGTTGGTGCTTTGTAGAACCAAACCTCTTTACTTTTGCCATCTTATGGTGAATGGTCTCTAATTTTGTTTTCTTTTGATAGTACCAATAGGATGGCAGTGATCATATTTTGACTGTGTGTGACCATTGCGACCCGGTCCGGCAGGTGGCCGACTGCGTGTGTCTGATGTCACTGGACCAGGCGGCCGCCGTCCCAGTCGACACGCACGTGCACCAGCTGGCGGCGCGCCACTACCTGCCGCACCTGCGCAGCGTCAAGTCGCTGACCGATCGCGCCTACCGCGAGGTGGCAGACCACTTCAGGAAGGTGTTCGGAGAGAGAGCCGGCTGGGCGCAGGCGGTACGTGCTGAAACAAAGGACGCGCATCTGTGGACTTGTGCATTACTCATAAAACAAGCTGATGCCTTACGGTTCTCGATCTTCATGTTTTACACATACCGCGTTTATTATTTTGTACGTACGTCAATCTATTTTGTTTTTTATCTCCACAATGGCATAGAGTGCTCGAATTGTTGTGAAGCGATGCTTACTTTCCTGCTTTAAGGTCCGTTCCAAAATTGTGTTACTTCATTCACGATTTAAATTCACATATTGGAAAGAATGATCGTTTGTTAGAGTTTCGAAGTTGACTCATTTGATGAGCTACTTTACTCTCGTCTGATTCGATCATATATTGAAGTGTTTTGCTACCGCCATTAAGTGTGCAGTGAAAGTGTTTTTGCGTTTCTTTTTTCATTCTTGTAATGCTTCATTTCAGGTTTTGTTTTGTGGAGACCTGAACGAGTTCAAGACCCTGCCAGATCCGCCATTGACAGCCAAGAAGACCGATGTACGGCCAGCAAAAGCCGGCAAATCATCTAACCAGAAGTCCGGAACCAAGAAATCAGCACGCTCTGCGTCTGAATCGGTCACGATCGTCAACGAACGTGCACCATTGAAGCGGAGTCGAACTTGCTCGTCGGCTAAAGAAACTTCCTTGGATGCAATCGGGGAAAACACTGGGAGCAGCTCCAAGGTAAGCCGTGCCGTCTCCACCGCGGAGCATCGCAGCAGTCGGCGATCTAAACGGCAGCAGGTGCCGAGTACGTGAACGTTAAGCGTGACTGAACGTTATTAGGCAGTCTGCCCTGTGGATCAGATCTGATCCAACAATGTTAGAACTGCTCTCAGGTACCTCTCAGGATGTTCCTAGCTGTGATTCACACCAGGCTACTTTTGGACGTGCACATAAGTCCGTTCCAATGAAAGACAACTGAAAGCCAGGTGGTTCACTGGTCACGCCACATGCATGCCAACTTGTAAATGGTCGATTTTTAAAGCCTTTTGTAACTGGTTTGTGCAATACTTTTTGAATTATTCACAAAGAGCCATCGCTAAATGCCTTCAAAATTGTAGTCCATACGTTTCTTTTTCAATTCCTTTTTTTGTATCTGAAATTTAACTTTGTAATCGAGTGACTCGCCTCAAAGCATGCTTTCATACTACGTACTAATGCCAGGAACTTTGGCAGCTAAAATAACTAAGTTGAAGCAGGTTATCCATTTAACGCTGGTTGCACATCAGACGCCATGGATGGGAAGCTTTGAAGAAATGTGATATGTTTGTATGTCTATGATTCAGTTCGAGAACACGTTTGGAGAGTACGGTCAACACCTCCAGACAGTTGAACTGCGTCACGGCCATCACAAACTTCAAATGGGGCTTCAAATCTAACGCGGAGGGCTTTACACCAATCTATTTACAGCAGTCAGCACCCTTACATCTGGATTCACAACTGGAACTGGATTAGTCGATTCACGCACGGTTGCGTTCTTATAGAGTCCCGGAAAGGTATTATCTCTTTTCGATCCGGTTACCGTTGTGGCCTGGCACGGCCTGTCTTCTTGCGTTTCCTCGGGTTGAAACGCGTTGTATTGTATTGCATAGTATGTACAATCATGAGCGATCCACACTTGACGTGGTACTTTCTGCTCATGAGATTGCTGCATTTTTGTGCTCATTGCCCAGTCGTTACTAAGCCAGACTGCAGGCCCAATGATGACTGTTCAGCTCGGCTTGTTTCGACCCGAGGTGGCCGCTCGGTGTGGTTCTCAAGCCCAGTCACCTAGTGATGTCGACCTCAGGGTCTTCCAGCAACCGTCTCACCGTGTGCTGGACCCGCAAACCGCACCCAATACTGTCCGTGGTTGCGAGTCAGTTTTTATCAAACACAAAACCTTGCGAGCTTCCGGGTGTCTCACAAAAACTCCTTAAAACTCCCCATCCTGCTTCTTGAACATCCTGGACGTCCATCAGAAGGGTTATGCTCTATCTGGGCCTTTTTCTCAAACTAGAACTGAGCTAGAGCACTACTCTTCAATCTTGTCCGAGACGTCGAATGTAAACTGCTTGCTGGCAGTTTACCACAGTCTTCTACAGCACGGCTTATGCCATGGCCATTTTCTTGGTAATGCTGTTACACTGAGCAGTATATTCCATTCCTTAACCCGCGCCCCACTGGGGGGGGGGGCTATTTATAGCCCCCCCTCCCGTTTTTCTGCAATAACTTCCAAACCGCTTAACGGATCGACGCAAAACTTTCAGTACCTTCGGCTGCATCAATTTGACACCTTGTGTCAAAATTTGAACTTCGTACCTACCATAGGTCGGCCGGAAATGACGTCAGAGTGACGTCATGTTCGTCCGATTTCGACGCAAAACATTGAACCACGGCAATCGCTCCCAAGAGCTCAGTTTTTAAGCTAGATCCAATTTCTTTGCATGAAAGAACTCAGAATTGACCGCGCTATCAAACTGCTATCTCGGATTTTCAACATTTTGAAAATTTCGAAAATTTTATATAATAATATTCAAAATTTATATTTTTATATTTTTTTCAAAAAGTTTTTGACTTTTCGAAAAAACCGGAATATATGTGACAGAACGCATGATTATGACTAACTCTAGCAAGTTTTAGCTAAATATCTTCAAAAATGGCCAAGTTATACGCATTATTGCAAAAAATTCACAATTATTAATTTTTGAAATCAATTTTTCAGTACGTATTTGGCATCGTACACCAATATAAATGGCACCATCGTGTTCCTGAGCTCAAACTGCATCCAATAGACACCTTTTTTGTTGAAAAATTTCAACTTCAAAATTTGACCTTTTTTGACCTGAAAGTGACCTGACCTAAGCTAAATTCGACTCAAAATGACCTCGAATGACATAGACGACATCAAATTCGAAATATATGGCCTAAATGGACCATAAAACATGTGTCACGTGACCGACGCATGATATAATATTTTCGTGACCTGTGATGACTTGACCCTGACCTGAAAATCAAAGTACAAGTTTGGTACCCGCAAAGTATCTAGAGCATCTGTTCACGAGTGTGGAAACCAAAAATGAGCCTGATCTGACTTGTAAGACGGCGGCCAGAGCCCAAAATGTGAACAAGCCAAAGTGCTAATAATTTTTACTTTGACCTGACCTGTGACGTCATCGGTGACCTCGAGGTCAATGAAATTAGGTTTCGCTCGACAGTTTTTCCGGGGCTATCAGACGCCGTTTGAATTTTGACGATCGGCCCAGTAGTTTCGGAGTTAGGAGGGGGGGCTATGAATAGCCCCCCCCCCCCAGTAGGGCGTGTTATACACAGACCCCAGTGGGGCGCGGGTTAAAAAAGCAAAAAGTTTATCATACAACACTCTCTCCAGTGGCGCGGGAACTTCTTCCAGACTGGGGGGGCTGAACCATCATAGAGATCAACCTAGGGTACCCCCAAATCTAGTTTTCTCATCGGTTTTAGGCCACTTATTTTTCAGACCTTGGCCTTTTCAACGAAAAAAAAAGAAGAAAATATTTGCAAAAAAAGTGAGATAGGTATTCCGTCTCAGCTGAGTGAAGAAACTACCGTTTTGGCAACCTGGAATAAAGGTTTTAAGCTGCCAAATGAGTTGCCGAGTCAGTAAAATAGGTAGATTTTTTCACTTACATGCTTTCTTTCTTTGTGACTCACAACCCCTAATTTGGGGAGGACAAGCTGCCCCAACGGTTCCTGGCCTCATAAAAAGATGTGAGGCACCGCCCCCACGGCCCCAGAGTTGTGAGGGCAAGCTTCCCCCACTGCCCTCTCCCCCGGTTCCCGCGCCCAAGATTACTTTCTTGCGCCTATGTATGAATCTATGAAATTGTGTTGGTAGATTTCCGATTTCGATTCCTCCAGCTGGGGGGGCTCAAATACATTACGAGCCCCCCCAGCCGAAAAGTTGGAGGGGCTCAGCCCCCCCTAGCCCCCCCGGTTCCCGCGCCACTGACTCTCTCAGCTGCCAACCAAACGCTTTGACCTTGTTGTTGTTTGCAAGACTGATATTGAGATAAGACAGATGCAGAAGCACCACTTGCACCATTTTGTGGTGCTGGTGCCGGTGTCCTGTCTAACAAGGTGTTCTAATACTCCACCAGCACCAAAGGCACTGTTGTGTTGTGCAGCCTAATTTGCAGGCCAGGGGGCTTGAGCATATTCTGCCTTTTCACATTCTTAAATTCCCCTTCATAAGAGCAGCGACTACAAGTTTGGTGGAAGTTCTGCTTCTTCCTTGTGAGCTCACTTCTTCGCAGCTGCCAGACTCGTTGATGATTTGTCGGCCTACAGGGTGCCCGGCCCTCTTCATATCGGCCAGTAGGTTGTCCCGCATTTGCCGGCCGCCCCAGATAACACACCCGCATCATAACCATGTGGTTACCATGTGGGCATGCCCATCTATTCCACAAAGGTGTTTCTGCATGGTAACCATATGGGCTGTCCCATGTGGTAACCATATGGGCTGCCCCATGTGGTAACCATATGGGCTGTCCCATGTGGTAACCATATGAGCTGTCCCATGTTGTAACCATATGGGCTTTCCTATGTGGTAACCATATGGGCTGCTCCATATGGTAACCATATGGACTGCCCCACCTCATAACCATATCGACAGTTCCGAGCAAGAACATCCTAAGTCAAATTTTTCGAAGTTGATATTTTATACCATTCGACTCAGCTCGACAAGCTGAGTCGAATGGTATAAAAATTTCAATTTCGAAAAATTTGACACTTGGATGTTCTTGCTCGGAACTGTCGATATGGGCTTCCCCTGTGGTAACCACGTGGCTGCTCCATTCGGTAACCATATCAGGCTACCCCATTTGATAACCATGTGAGCTGCCCACAAGAATATCAAACAGGTATCGCGAATGGCAACTTTGTCAGCTGTCCCACGCAAGGACTACATGGTAAACTACTGATTGGCTGTATGTCCTTTTGTGGACTTAAAACTACCTGGCTTCCTTTCACTTCTGGTACATTCATACATTAACAACTACGACAGTTTCCTTTAAACGTATATTACACGCGAGACACACTAGGTGACGCACCGCCCCGCCCCGCCCTCGTCAGCGTCAGCGTTATGTTCGACGCCGTTGCCGCCGCCACCGCCGTTGCTGGTGTCGGCGCCCGCCGCCCCCGCTGCCACCGCCGCTACTGTTGGTGGCCTGGCGCGCCGTCCTGTAACCTTCCCGGTCTCGGCTGTTCACCAGCCACTTTCCGATAGCGTTGGCTATGTCCTTTTCTGTCACCGACAAGGCCGGGTTCTGTTTGACTGGCCCTGTCGGAAAAACAACAAAAAGCTTGTTACGAGCGAGCAAATCCTTTCGTTACGAGCTAGCGAGATGTAGAATAAGAAACTGACGCACTCGCTAGTTTGTCGCCCAGAAAGGCGTCTTGCTGGCGGTAGAGTCGTGCGTTGCTTCTAGTAATTCAGATACACGCAGTTGAAGTAAAAGGAAGCGAGAACTTTATACTGTGATAAAAGCAAAACTGGTGAGGTAATGTTTTTAATGAGGTAATAAAAGAAAAACAATTGTCTACTTCATTGTCCATAAAATGAGCATCACGATAGAAATGTATTCAGAAAACGGGTTAGAAGATATGCTTACTGTAGACGACAGTGTAGAGCTTCGTTGTTCTAAAGCCCGTCTTTCCGTGACGCTGGGCCCCATTCATGTTAAAGCGCTGCCCAAGGCCGCTCCTCATCAGTTGGGCCATGACGCGGCGGACACACTCGCCAACGGTGCTGCCGCCTTTGTCGCCCAGGTACAGCACCTGTGAAATCAGACCTCGTGTGATTAACGTAATGGGCGGGCTAACCGATAACTTAACCCGCGCCCCGTATGTCTATCAGCGGACCCTACCACCCGTAGAGGAAGGGGGGCCTTTCGCCCCCCCCCCCCAGATCTCGGAAAGTTACCGGCCGACTTTCAAGATTTAAACAGCGTTCGATAGCCCCACCGGGGAACTACCTTGTGACCCAATTTCATTGACCTCGGTCAAACCGATGACGTCACAGGTCAGGTCAAAGGTCGCATTTTCACCTTTTACAGGCTTTCAAGAAATGTGTTGTAAAATCGTTACATGTTATTGAAAATCATCGACGGAGACTTGTTCGTCAAATAATATTTTGCTATTTAAGGTCACTACCACCAGTGGCCAGTTTCACAAAAAAAGACGGTTGCGATTACAACGGCGCCTCTCGGCTGCCGTTGTTGGTGCCTCTTCTGGGTTCCCGGCGACAGCCCGCCAGCCTCCTCCACCAGCAGCCGGGCGGCGCGGGCAGGGTCGTCGGCTGCCAGCCACTCGCCCTCATCGCCGTGATGGCAGCACAGGTTGTGAAGGATGAAGCAGGCCCTGAAACAACAGCGGTAACAATAAGGTATATTGCTAGTAATCATACTAGAGTACAGGTGTTCGCGATAACAATATGTTTTGATGTATATGATTGATGGATGCATTAGTTTTGGTGAAGAAACTTATTAATTGCATAATATCACGCTCGCCAAAACCTCCCGGTTACAGCCACTTACACTTTACTTTCAACCTCTGTCCCATTTATTATTTATTAGCATATCGAGCTAGAAGGAAACCACGACGTAATCGTCAAATTACATAGCACAAATTGCGGGACGTCGGGGTAGTCCGTAAAAGTACCCAACCCCTCTCAGCCAACGCCGTTGAGACGGGGGGGGGGGGGTCGAAGCCAGGACACGTATCGGCGTATCCTTCACAGATTCGGGTGTCTCACCGTCCTAGACGCTGTTGGCGACGTCGAGGCTCAGGTCAGTATGAAACTGGCGACATTCGTTTCCACCGCACAACAGGGTCGGCTCCCCTTTGTCGAGCCCCTCAAACAGGCCCTCGACTCCACCCGGGTTATGCGGCTGCAGCCCGGGGAAGAGGTCACTGTTTGCGGCCGTTGGCAGGAGCGAGCGGGCATGCTGGTAGAAGAGGCTCACCAGTGACGCCTGATCCGGCGTCAAGACCACTGTCGTCGTTCCCATGATGCGCCGAACCTTTCCGCCATGGTGCAACACCGTCGTGGAGCGAGCGGAGTCGCGACGTCGCTCCCACTCCTCCACTTTCAGGCCGGTCCACACGCCGGCTCGGTGACCGGCGAATAACACCAGATGGGCGAACAGAATCTGGCGGGCGCTGCAAAAAGAACACAACCATACGAACACAGTGCTCCGTATGGCTTCATGGTCTGGCCCCTGCGGACGCCGTACAGGACGCCCGTAAATGTCATTACCTCCCATCCAAATGAAAATTGTCCCAGTTGGCCCCCGCCTCAAGTCTCTCTGTTTCCCACTCACGGAGGTGATCTCTGATGCACTGTTTCTCTCGCAGCCACGTGTTCCCCCCTTCTGCCAGGTTGATGACACTGTCTCCGGAAGGGACGGGGAGTTTAGGGTGTCGGCGATCGAATCCCAAAGGATGTGGCGGCAACGACTCACCGTTGTATTCGTTGCTGGTGCTTTTTTCTTCAACTTTTGGTTTTTCTGGGAATTTAAACCCAGAACAGGCAGTGTCAAACTGTACCACTACCTCAACATTAATTTAAGACCATGTTGATTGTCTATCGCCGATGTTCGGGTCTCGGCCAGACCCCTGGTCGGTCATGGCCGGACCTGTACTGCTGCACTCGACGCGCGCGGCACCCACACACATGCACACGCGTCCGTAGGTCGGAGCAGACTGTTCGTTAATTGGCATCCAGCCAACGGCTCTCAGCACGGGCCCCCGGCGGGACTGGTGCTGCCCTCTCTGTATTGCATGGGAACTACAACTGCGACCGCTAAGGTATATGCGGCAGCCCCGCACAGCCGAGAACGGCGCACGATTTGCATCGTGTTCCGTTTGAGGTGTCTGAAAGCACCAGGCGTGAACTTTTTGACTGATGTAAATAAAGAAGTCAGCCGACGTATAGTACGTCGGTAAACTGGTAATGTCATGTTGACAATCTCTTCTCCCCCGCACTCGGCGTTGGTGCAGGAGGTGATGATCAGAATGATCGTTACGATGACGGTGATGTTCATAGCGCTTTTATAAAAAAATTTCACCAGAATTCGAGATCTTCTAAGTTAAACATAACGATTGATCGGTTATCGATGTATTTCTTGCGTAGAGAAATGAACTTTTGCTGATCGTAGGTATTTGTATCCGTAGATTTCCAGAAATGCTTTAGGGACTAGTCGATATGGAATACAAAGTTTCAATGGCTGGCTCTAGATCGATGCTCGCATTAAAGTAGGCTGCCGTCACAGCCGCCGTTTTTGCGCGAGTTTCTTTGTTGGCATAACATTTCATAATGCCAAGACACATATTGTTCTACCAGCAATGCAATGTCGGGGTTGTGTTGCCGACCTATAGAGCTGTGTACTCTGACGTCATCACCAACGAGTGGTTCCAACAGCTGATTGTGCCAATATTAAAGGCCATAGGGGAGACCTTCCGAGACAATTTAGGGCTGTATTTTATTTTTCGAGCCAGCAAGTTGATGTTTCACATATTCCTTGATTTTTTTCCTAATGTTTTAGCTACCAAAAATTAATCTTATCTTAATGTTTTCGTAGAAATTATCATTATTATTCAGTGATACAATCATGGCGCACGAGTTTCAAAACATGCGTGCGTTTATGGCGGTGGCGTCGGCCTTGGCGGCGTCCTGGTTTTCGGTGGACGGCGGTCGGTTGCTCATGATCATTTCTTTTTGTCGTTCAGTAGAAAAGTATGTCATTTGTGACGTATTTCTCTATCAGTAGCTTTTATCGGACATACATACATACATACATACATACATACATACATACATACATACATACATAATTTCTTTGGTTAAATGATAAAAAAATCAAGTTTTAAAATCAAGTGTTGTGATCACAAAAAATCACAGTGAGAGACCCTCATCATAGAGGTCACAGGCCACCTCCACATAGACCATAGCGTCAAACGCCAGGAGTTCCGAGATCGCAGGGTGGAGGGCCTCGGCGTAGATGAGGTACATTTCGATAATGATTGATGCCTCCAGGTAAAACACCTTCATCTCCTCCTCCCTCTCCTCCGGCGTCTGCGGCCCCGGCGGCGGCAGCAGCGGCTGCGGTTGCGGCGGCAGTCATGAACAATTAGGCGTTAGACGAGATTACTTATCATTGTACTTAACCGTAACTAATGAGCATCGTACACACGAAGTTATTGCACATAAATCATTGAGCAAATGTACCACTTGATCGATCTGGTACGGGATTCCAGAGTCACCGGTAGATAACAAAACAGACCCCAGAAAAAGCCAGGGCGACCAATGCACTGAGCTGCAGATTCAACGCATCGTGTACCAGTGGGTGATATGCCCCTAGATCCTTCCGTTTCTACAGTACAAAGCAGCGGACAGCGGCAATGATCAGTGTAATGAATTGTTGTCTCACTTGCTCCTGTCCATAAGCCTATGCTGAGCTATGATCGGGTTTTGGAAGGTAGTCATGACGGCACATACCTTCACGAGAGCATTGACAATATTGCGGAACTGATGCGGTATCGCGTCGAGAATTTTGTACAGTTTCAATCTAGCGATAGCACGTTCAACATGAATCCTGGCCTCAGCCACCTCCCGATTGTGAAGCACTTCTTCTTTCGTGAACTGGGGTTGGAACAGAAATGCCGGCGTGTTGACAGTGACACCAGTCGGCACTATGTCACCGATCGAGAACCCCTTATCTGCGAGGACGAGATCTCCCGCGTCCAGCTGCTCCAGCAGGCCACTTGTCGCCGCGATCTGCTTATCAGACGCGTTGCCACCGTACACTCCGCTCACAAAGTTTATAGTGCCGTTCGGAGCGACTCCGACCATGAGTTTAAATGTGTTGCGCGCTTTGTAGGCGCTGTAGGTGCTTGCCTTGTTGTTTGTGTTGTCGGGTTTTTGAATGTGAATTTCTGTGCAGTCGATGGTGGTGCGACAGTTCTGAAACTTTTCAAAGGAAGCTGGCATTGATCCCCGATTTTTCTCCCGGCTCGTCACTCCCTTCCCCAGCACAGGCTTGTACAGGGCTTCGGCGAACACCGAGATAAACGTTCTGAGGATGTTCGTCACCGTGGACATTGAGACAGCAAAGCGCACTGACAAGTCTGTGTGGCCGAAGTTGTGCCGGAGTTTCATTAGGAACATGAGAATCTGATCCTCAAGAACTAAGACGTCCACCTTATGCTGATAGTACTCAAAGTCAAGCATGCTGATATATGTCACCAGCGTCTTAAAAACTTTCGCGTTTGGGAGGCTGGTGTAATAGTTCACCAGCGCGTCAGATTCACTTATCTGACTGAAAGTCAGCCGGGCAGCCTTGTACCTATCCGCCGCTGCCAGTCGGTTCACTTCCTCACGAAGTAGCTGGTTCTCGGCAGCCAATAGTTGCGATTCTCCGCCTTTCGCCGTGACACGCCCAGCACCGCGATGGGTTATGTCAGTTGACGTCTCTTCAAGAGGACGACAGGTGACATCAGCTGACACCTGCTTTGACTTTGGTGTCCGGGAGGGTTGCAGATCTAGTTCTAGCATCTTGTCCACATTCCATGGGAAGCGGGTCGGTCCGAATGCGACGCCTCTGGTGAAGTGCCAGGAGCAGATCCGGTCACTAGATGATGGACTGAAGTTGGCTGTCCTGGGAACACAGAAACAATTATTTCAATTGTGGCCAAAATAATGTCCCACTGCGAGCTGCATTGGTGAACCCCGGGTCCTGGACATTTCACTTGCATACATGGACAATGGACATGCTTGTGTGACAGGCACACTTGTGCCAAGATCCCAAGATCTGGGATCCAGGATCCTCAGGATCCAACATCTGGGATCTTAATGGATCATGGATTCAGCATTTCAGAGTTTGTCGCGATCCTGGAAATCCCGGGTCCTACATTTATATTTTGTCGATGGATCCTGGGGTTCCTACTCGTAGATCCTGTTATAGTTTTGTGAATGGCTTCTGGGGATCTAGAATCCTTCATTTTTATTTTATAGCGGGATCCTGGGGATCTTGGATTCTGCTTTTAGTCTCTGTCATTTTTTCAGTTAATTTAAAATGTCCAATAATTTGGAGACGGACATGTAGCCCAAGAAGCCTTTGCAGTTAAACTTGCTCTCTGGCCCTTCACGTCAGTGATAAGGCCTACTATTTAGTATTTTGCCAACAGACATCAATTTTATGTGAGATCAAGGGGATCCAGGACTCTGAACTTTTGATTATGCGGAGCAGCTTGGAGATCTTGGATCATTAAGGTTTGTTTTTGTGGGGGATTCAGGGGATCTTGGATCCTGCAATTCTTAGTATGCATCAGATCCTGGAATTCCCATTTTGTGTGGAATCTTGGGTCCTGAACTCTTGACATTGCATGGGATCTTATAAAAGAAAATAAGAATAAAAATGTTAGGTGACAGTTTGGGACAACGATGAGCAGTGTTGGAATTTTACTTTCTGTGGCTGGTAGTGGAGTAAGATTTTTTTAGGACAGTGGAGTACAAAATGCATGTGTCAGTATATCACCAGAAAACCATCATGCAAATTTAACACATCCAAAAATGAGCAATAGAGGCTCTCTGCTTTTCCACCCTCACTCCTACACCAATTATTATGAGCAACTACACTTTTTCTTCCTTATTCACAATCATTTTAAAGCTGATGTTTTGGTTGGAGTACATAAAAATCATTTATATCCAGTATGAAGTGTGGAGAACAACATTTTCTGGGGGAGTAGTTGACCAGCAAACACGAGTTTTTCCAACCTTGTGACGAGGAGATGAAATATGACTTAGTCAAAGATGGAACAAGAAGTACAAGAAAAGAAAGTAAAATCTAGCCACAAACAGTGACAATTATTCGTGTATTTATGTATGCACTAATTCATTTCATTCATTCTTGCAAGCAGTCACCAGCAGGGCAGGCCCCACTGGCAGGTGAAGCATGTTATCCAACAGCATTTACTTTGACAACTTAGTAGTTTTTGCAATGTGTCACATGCATTATTAGATTACTTGTGATAAATAGGAATAATAAAGATCAGTTTTAGTGCCCACGTATATAGTAACCAGGTATTATGCTAATATGTTTATATTTCGTTTAGATGTTAGCAACTACCTCCATTTTACACATCAATATCATGGACATTGTCAATATCATTATTGTATCATAATCTGTGTTGTATTAATATCAGTGGAGGCCTTTCACATTTTGCTTCTGTCTCTATTATCAAGCCAGATATCCCAGACCCAGCACACAGCTGGGTGAGGATTACAACTGCCAATGAATGTTCGTACAAGCCCTCAGAATTGATTGGTATGTGTCTGGAAAGTGGATTAAGGTCAATTTGCCCCCATGGCTTCATGATGTGATGTGGCAAGATCAACTACAGCTTTGTGAAAATAATACTTATTGATCAATTTATTTTTACTGTGTGTCTACAATTACACTTATGCGTAAAAATAATGGTTACTTGGCCCCTAAGATTCTCTCACAGTTGAAGCAAACATTTTGGTGATAGGTATATTGAGTCCTGGATAAGTAGCATGTTTATACCGTTAAATATATAAATGAGACAATCATATTTCATAGCAAATAATAAATACATGCCTTTATTGGAGGCAGAAACAACTGATATCTAGGTACTTACCGGATGAGTCGCAGCCACCTTTCACGCTGCATCTTCAATTATCATGGAAATGGCTGAAATCCCTAGATCGACGCCTGCAGGCTGCCTAATTGTCACGCCTGCGCCAGAAATGAAACGTTACTTTCCTAAGGGTTTTCAATAAAATTTGCCATTGCTCAATAATTTTTGCTGCCACTAAAAAAAAAAATCAAAAATTACACTGTCCCTAATAAACAAGATTTCTTTGCACAACTCGGTACCTTTTCTTTGTAACATTGATTTAAAGTCTTGCCTATGGGCTTCAACATGGGCGCAGTCAGCTGTGGGAACCAGTCCGAAGCAGTGACGTCATGCGTAAACAGATCTATTTTTTTAAGTTTTTCTATTATGACGTCAGTTGCTTAGACCCAACGATCGTCTAAAGGCCTGGCTACACTATGCGTTTTCTGCGTGCGTTCTTTGCGTGTTTGCGTGATTTGCGTAATATCGTTCTAGAAGAAAGCTATATTTAATAAAACTTTTACATAAGTTATGTATAAAAGGTAATGCAATTCTTATATTAACTAAAATTGAATATGAAAAAAACATTACAAAAACGTAATATCGTTTTTTACTAGCACGATATCACGCAAAACACGCAAACACGCAAAAAACGCACGCAGAAAACGCATAGTGTAGCCAGGCCTTAATTCGACGAGGAATCCTCCAGTAATGTTCCTGTGTTAGTTTTATTCATTTTGACAGACAAATTAAATCGATTTGCAAGGTCGGCTTCGGTGTCGTGGATGTCACTATCTTTTGCTTGTACCATGACGGTGTCATCTCCCATTGCCACGAACAGATGAGGTTTTAATTTTTCTACCAGTTTGGTCATGGAGCACATAGTAGTGTAGGTGTTAACCAAAGCGGTCGATGCATCACCCGATTTTGTTTGATAAGATGCATAGCACGCAACTCCGTTACGTGAAGCAATTTTGGTTTTAATATGTAGATGTCGCCAAAAGTCGAGGTCAGCTTGACTCATCCCTACAGACCGACACGCATATATGAAAGCTTCAAGACTAGTGGCCCCTTGCGCCCGATCAAATCCAGAAATATCTCCCGAGTAAAATTTCAAATTTTCCTTTCGCGGGATATTGTGTATCAATATTGCCTCTATTGCGTTTTTATTGTACCCTATAGCCATGCATACGGAAAGCATTAGTAGTGATATGAGACTGTCGCAAACTTGTTTGAACATAGGTGAGAAGTAAGTTGTAAGGACGCGGTGCATCATGGCGATCACTTGAACTTTGGGCAATTTTCTTAGAATGTCGTTGTTGCCGGTTGCTTTGGTTGTACTTTTGAGAAGCATTTCATAGTCGGCCCGAATATGGTCGGGCACCATTGTTTCTTCGGCCAAGTGCAGTGATACTTTCGTGCCCGGCAGCGCGACTATGCTTCCCCGGCAATCCATTCTTTTTTTGTGCCCGGCAATCCATTCTTTTGTTGCTTCGAGGTTGGGTCCAATTTGGTTTCGTTGATAATGCTTTAGCATATTCTCGGCTTGGTCATGACAGTATACTCGGATAAATTCTTTGAAATGTACTATGGCGGCACATTTGGAATAAACAGGACCTTGAAGGATTGGAGCACGGAAATTTTTTATCTCCCGTGGTTGGGATGTATATTGTATGCTATATCTAAAACGAAACCTTTGAGCGCCGCTCAAAAGAGCAGTTGTCGCAACAGCGCCATGATAGTCGGACTGCCCGACCATCCCCTCCCCCACACTCCTACAACCCCCATATTGTCAGACCACACCCGCACTCGTCGGCCAGTCCAGCGATGGCCCCAAATCAGGCACGCGACGACGACTGGTACAGCTGCTCGTCTCGGTGGCGGCCCGCGCAGGGGCCCTGGCGTTATGATTGGTCCGCATGTGGTGACGTCACCCACACGTCACACAACACGCGGGAAAATATCAGTGGCGGAGCTAATGTACAATCAACAAAGATCGCTCTATGTCCCATTGGCAGCACCGTCCAGGTGAATTGGCGGCCGTCAGCGAGGCGGACGCCCATAAACTGTTGTAGTCCTGGATGCAGAGGGATGTGGTAAAATCCGTGACGTAGGTCCACCTTGATGGCAAATCTCGGTGCCGTATCTTGGAGAAGGTCCAAGGCCCTGGGCAGGAAGCAGGGTGGTGGCCTGAGGTGTTCGGTGAGCGGGCTCAGGTCGTAGATTACCCGAGCTCGGGTGGCGTTTTTGGCGATGCCGAACAGCCTGTACGCGGATTTCGGGCGCCCGGGCTTCAGGTGGCCGTGACGCGTCAGCGCTGTGATGATGTTCAGCTTGACCTGGGTAGTCGGGGTCACCTGGAAGTGTCCTCTGGCTGCAGGCGGAACGAAGGTCTTCGCCCCGGCGGACAGTATCGATTGGACTCGGTGGTCCGACGAGATGTCCGGCGACAGGTGCCGCCGTTCGTCCACATCCACTGTGTGCAGAGGGGAAGCTGGTACAGAGCGCTGATTGTTGACGAACGAGAGGGGGGATTCGTCTTCCCCCTCTTCTGGCTCGTCTTGTTCCTGGTCGTCTTCCGGTTCATCCGGTGGTCCGGAGGCGACTTCAGGAGGCTGCTGGGAGTCCGGGGTTCGAGCGTCATCCTGGACTTCTTGTAGTATGGCCGCTTCCCTGGCCATTTGCGCGATTTCTGCTCCGGTCAGTCTGTGGAAGTGGTCGATGAACTGCATTGGAGGAGGAGCAGGCGGCTCAGCTACCTGACTCCAGTCCAACGTGGGTGCCATCGTGTCCAGATCCTCTGACGTCCAGGAGGAATCGAGCGCGGAGAGACCAGCATCCGACTCAACCCCGTCTCCCAGCTCTGACTCGAGGTCGGAGAGCACAGGGAGCGGGGGAGTCAGATGGTCGCCGTCGAGGTCTCCTTGATGTTCCAGCAGGTGAGAGAGAGGGGAGTGAGCCGACCTCGGAGACGTCCTGGTCGCCCATCGAGAAGAAGGAGGGGTTCGGCGAGACCAGTGAGCCGAGACCGAGCGCAGGTGAGTGGACAGCCGGAGGCGAGACGGCTGCAGCAGCTTCTACCGGACGATCGACGAACTCTGGGAGCACAGGTAAAGTCGAACAGCCGGGAGCCGAGGCACCATGCGCGTGAGTGTGGGGGCCGCTGGGGCGGCCTGTCCCGGCAGCAGGGCTAGCGGCGCTCCATGGTGACGAGGGATCTCCGGCGGGACCGTTGGAACCACTCGTACCACCGCGTGCCACTGCTGCATAACACTACTGATCCGCACTGCCCGTGGTGGTCGCCGCCGGCCTCTTGCGGCGGCGTCGACGACCCATCGGCGGACCGGGTTGCACCTGCTGAGCATACTGGACAGTATGCTGTGGCGGCAGGTGAACGACTGGAGCTGGCGGAGGCAGCTGTACTCCGAGTTGCAGGAGCTCCAAGTCAGGAAGGGCGGTCAGAGCAGCCGCCCACCCCCGGTGTCCTACGATGACGAATAGCTTGAGACGATCCTGCAGGAAAGTGAAGTCCTGCGGGTCCGGTGGGACCTGAGCGGTTGCGAGAAGGAGCACGCGAATTTCTTGCCGATCGCGGGTTTGAAAGCTCTCGTTGATTAGGCGTTGGGTAGTGAGATACTCACGCCACTGAGCGTTAAAGGCCTGGAGCACTGGGGCTGGCGGCCGTTGTGGTGGATCCATGGGCGGTGAAGGGGTCGCCGCCGGTCCTGGTGTGGAGTCGGGCCGCGCAGCCGACGGAGGGCGAGCCTGGGAGACGGGCTGAAGCAGTTCGGCTACCCGACGCGCCAAAACGTCTAGCGCCGTGGGCCTGGCCGCCCACGGCGCCGCCGGATCCACTGGCGTCGGAATTATCCAGATTGAAGTGGAGCTGTCGAGCTACGCTGGATCTGGTGTTCCGGGAAGGAGTGTCTGTCGCGGTGGTATATTGGTGACGGGTCGTTGCCGGCGTATTCGGACGGCTTCGACCCATGGAAGAGGCACCGAGCCGGCCGCGGGTAGGCACTTAGGAAGTGCGTCCCGCAGGCCGAGTGAGGGCGAGGCGCTACACCACTATAACCACTGAGAACACTTCGACTTTGGTTACACTGCACCACCAGCGGCAGCACCCCCTCGTCAGGTGCTGCCCCGCAGAACGCCGTTCACCGACTCACCGACGCCGTTGTACGAGCTCCAGCCATGTCATAGACGGCGCCGCCGCATCCTGAATGTCTGCCGGCCACTCCATCGCCCACCACTCGTGGCCAAACCACGCCCCCATGCCCCAACGAGAACTGTCCGTGCACAGAGTGAGGCCGGGGACCGTGCCCGTGTCCCGCGGCACCAACGGGAAAGTGCCGTTCCACAATGCCAAAATCGTCGCCCACCACTGCATGTCCGCCCGCACCGCCGCAGTAATCCGCACCCTCCTATTCAGGCTACTCACAGAGTGAGCCGCGTCCAGCAAAGGCCGGGTAAAGGCCCGCCACGGCGGCACACACTTACTGGCGTGCACCTTTCGCCCAACCAGGGACAGCAGTTCCCTCTGCGTGCACTTTTTTCGTCCGGTCAGGGACGCCAACGTCCCGCGTAGGTCGGCCAGCTTCTGATCAGGGAGCGCCACAGACATTTCCGTAGTGTCCAACACAACACCCAGAAGCTCAATCCGCGTAAACGGAGGGAAACATTTGCCCGCGGCGAGGGGAACGCCCACCTCCGTACATATCGCTTTACGTCTGTTGTACACGACTGCAGCGCTATCCGTGCCCGGAGGGCCCACAGTCCACACCGAAGAAATCATCAAAATAATGTCGGACAAACACGTCTGCTGTGCCGCCTTGGAACAGCGCTTGCAAACAATCAGCAAAATCATTAAAAATCCTCGGGCTACTGCGTCCACCGAACGGCAGACATACCTGATAGTATATCTTCTCCAGCCAGCAGAAACCTAAAAGGCGCCACTGGTCGGACCGAACTGGTATGAGCTTGAAAGCATTCTGCACGTCAGCTTTAAAGAGAAGCGCACCAGCGCCGCCCACCTCATAGATCAACTCTATGGCCTCATCAAGTGACGTGTACAGCACTCGGAACTGGTCAGGATCTATACCATCATTCACTGCCCCCCAGCCGGCTGTGACAAGTCCAGTATTAGTCGTACGTCTCCGTTAGGTTTATCTCTGGCACTGAGCGCGTTTATCGCCAACCCGTCCAGCGGCGGTGAATTAAAGGGGCCTCTGGTATAACCGGCTTTCACTTCCTTAGCAATGGCCTTGGACACACCGTCGACACGCAGCGTTGCGGACCGATTATTGT